AATGAAATAAACATCTTGGCTTAAAGAGCCTGCAAAAAGTAGGCTGTGGAGCATATTTGGCCTACGACCTACGGCCTTTTTGTCTCTGATCTACATGATGCTGAAAAACTATAAAACGTGGAAATTGCATGAAACACACCTTCTGAAAATATAGATCTGGTTTTCTTGGAACATGGCCATGTTTGTCTGTTTCTGTGCCCTTCCCAGTTGCTCGAGTAGTGTCAGGGCAGAGTGGGGTAGTCAGGACAAGATTGTGGCTCTGGTCTAGCTCCAAAGTTGAGATAACACTTGTAAGTAAGCAGACCCTCTTGGTAAATTTAGCATTCTCCCTTCAGATGAAGGAAGGAGAAGCAGCTATCGTCACTGGCTAACTGTAATGCCGAGATGAAATGGGCTAGAAGAACAGTTCTTCCTCTGTCTCTCCATGTACTGAATGATCAGAGCTGTTAGAGAGGCTCAGACAGCATAAATTAATGCTAGAGAGCCTCTTAGAACCTTGGCATGTCCTACAACAGGCCCTCAAAGAACAGCTGTAAACTGAGCAGGTGGCATGCTTTACTCGCTATTGGTTTTTGCTAGTCAAAAGACATGGTGCTTTTCAGTTCAAGGTTTAAATAAGTATGGGAGCAATCCCGGAGGCCAAGTAGTTAGTCTATGGGTGGGGAACTGATTCTCAATCAGCATAATCTTCCCAAGGTCAAGAGCTCAGAACTGAGACAGATGATACACTTCATCTTAAATCTCCAGTTTCCATCGTACCATAGGCCATGTCACATGCTTTCAATCCATGAGATTGAAACCACTGCCATCATATCACTCAAGGGCAACCTTGCCAGGATTCAAGCATTCTGTTTTTTTGTTTATTTTTTGTTTTTAAGTAAAGGCAAGGGATTTGCTGCTGCTGTTGTAACTGGTTTGTGACAATAAAGCCTCGTATGAATTAATCAAATATTTAAACCAGACATAATATTCTGCTTTAAACATTTTGTATGTGATTTCAAACCCTGTCAGGTCATAATCTATAAATTAATCCCGGTAGCAAGCCAGGAGTAGGGGTGCATGCCTGTAACTCTCGCATTTAGGAGGTAAAAGCAAGAAGATCAAGGTGTTCAAGGTAACCTTTGGCTTCATAGGTAGCTTTTGGGCCAGCGTGGGCTACATAAGTCTCTGTCTCAAACAACAATAATAACATCAAGCTGGCAAAGCAAACAAATAAAACAGCTGATTACCTTATGAAGGGAGCTTCATACCATCCCTATGGAGCTCAATGAATCCAGACACTTAAGAAGCTGGAGGTGCTGCAACTAAACCTGCTAAATTTTCTGCAACCTTTTCCTATCATAAGTGTTTATGTTTTGTTTTGTTTTGTTTTTTATAAAATGATGGGTGAGTTGTAATCGCCTTAGCTTCCACACTTCCAAAATTCCAGGAGAGAGGGAGGGATACTGAATAACAATAAAGGGTAAGCGTTGAGGATGAAGGCTTTTTTTTTTTTTTTTTTTTTTTTTTTACAAAACAACACTTCCATCTAACACCCAGCATGCCTCCTTCCCACAGCTAGGATGACGCAGAAGGTGGGGTATTCTCAGAACTTCAGAGCGGTAGACATTGTTATATCACGGCTTAATTCTGCATTACATCTACCAGATTCTGCACCTCCTTACTGAATCCCATTCATTCAGCTGCCTTGGGTGAAGATATTTCCGGAATTTTCTCATGAGCAAGCACCCTGCTTGAGTCATCTATACAATAGTAAGTTGAATACTGTTAAGTTTGGGGTTTATAGTTCAATATTAAAAATTGGATTATGTCATTTGTTTTAAGGAGAGCATTCTATAGGGAAAAAAAAACTCCTAATTTTTCTTTAGTGAAGTTCAGGAATTTGGATGCAGCTTAGGAACAGTTTTTAAAAAATTCATTAAACAAAACTGGCTAGAATACAGATTACTAGAAATACCCCGATGACAGTAACACCCACAGACTCTACATCCCTGTTAATACGTTGTTTCTTTCCTCGGCCTTAGGTAGACTGTACAGAGCACATTATTTCTGTCCTCACCAGCTTTGTTACAAAACAATACTTCCGCATAACACCCAGCATGCCTTCTTCCTAAGGCTAGGGTTACACAGAAGGTGGAGCACCCTTGAACCTCTGGGGGGGTGGTATATATTGCTATACCATGTCCTGATTTTGCATTATATCTACCAGATCCCATATCTCGTTACTGAATGGCCCACTCATTGAGTTGCCTAAGCTACTGTGACTAAGCTACTTCTCAAGTATCTGGTTCCCATAGAAACAGAACAGCTACCACATTGTCGGGCATTCATTTCTTTCTATGTGCTCAGAGGAAGGCGGAGCCACATACTTTCCTGACAATGGTCAAGAACATAAGTAAATCTGCACTCCAAAAGACAGGCAGACTGCCAGTAAGCTACTTTTGGGGAACAAAAGGGGTGCAAGCCATTCCAGTCAGCTTGCTTACTTTCATTGTTTGGAAGAATTCTGAACAAACTTCACATTTTTCAAGGATTAATCATCTAAGTTGAGAACGTCCCCTAATGAGGAAAATATTGAGTTCTCTTTCAAAGTACTGGCTACCTCTCAATGTCCTTAGCAACATGTCTTCCACCCCACCTACCCAAATTATGCTTGAAAAGAAGCTAGGCTCCCAGCAAGGCGACAACAGGTTAATCATCTAGCACAGAGATGATGCTAGATAGATGTTTGGAAGAATATCATACAAGGATCTGAGGTTGCTTTTGGCCCTAACCTTCACAATGCTAATGTTAAAGCTGGTACCTCCAGCTCTGGCCAGTTCTCCAAGGAACACTGGCTGTACCTGCCACCTGTCTTCTTCCTTGTCCAAGTAAATGTGTTAAAAAAAAAATCCAGGTTTTCCTGACAATCAGTTTATCCTTATTTCAGCTGCTCAGGATACAATGCAAGAATCATCTTTCTCTATGTATTATGTATTGTCTTCTGCCCCAATCCAAGTCACTTCTCCATCCTCTTTTCTATACACAACAAAATCTAAAATCCAACCATTCGCTCTGGACTGTGCGCATGTTAAGTAATCTAAAACTATACAGCACTTTCACCCTTGAGCAAAACTCTCCTTTCATTGCCTCCACTCCAAAAGGCATCCCTTCTTTTCTACAGTGAAATCAGCTGTCATACAGAAGGCTGTGAACCTCGCTCTTATTTCTGACCACCATATCTTTAGAGAGGCTCCATCTTCAACACTACACTGTTACTCAAGCCCTTTCATCCCTCAAATAGCAAACCCTTCCATGTTCCCGCATTTTGTATTTCTTTCTCTTAAAATTTTTTTTTCTCCTGATCACAGTGACCAGAGGCCATTATGGCTTCAGATGCAAAGTGACAGGCAGAAAGCTTTTCTTTAAACAGACTGCCTGTGTCTATGAGACCACTCCAGAGGCGAGTTCTATACTTGGATTCAACATGGTAGATAGAGAGAAGTGACTCCCAAAATTATCCTATCACCTTAACATTATGCTATGAATGTATGAACACAATAAAATAAACACAGAAAAAATAGAAACAAACAAACAAACAGGGAAATGCAAATCAAAACGAAACGGAGATTTCATCTTACACCAATCAGAATGGCTAAGATCAAAATCTCAAGTGACAACACATGCTGGAGAGGATGTGGAGAAAGGGGAACACTCCTCCATTGCTGGTGGGAATGTAAACATGTATATTTCCACTTTGGAAATCAATCTGGCACTTTCTCCAACAATTAGGAATAGTGCTTCCTCAAGACCCAACTATACCACTCCTAGGCATATATCCAAAATATGCTCAAGTACACAACAAGGACATTTGCTCAACCATGTTCATAGCAGCTTAGTTTGTAATAGCCAGAACCTGGAAACAACCCAGATGTCTCTCAATTGAGGAATGGATACAGAAATTGTGGTACATTTACACAATGGAATACTACTCAGCTATTAAAATCAAGGAATTAATGAAATTTTCAGGCAAATGGTGGGAACTAGAAAAGATCATCCTGAGTGAGGTATCCCAGAAGCAGAAAGATACACATAGTATATACTCACTTTTAAGTGGATATTAGATATATAATATATCCATACACCAAAAGAAGCTAATCAAGAAGGAGGACCCTTTCATTCAGAAAGGCAAATGGGATAGATATCGGAAGAAGGAGAAAACAGGGAACAAGACAGGAGCCTACAACAGAAGGCCTCTGAAGGTCTCTACCCAGCAGGGTATTAAAGCAGATGCTGAGACTCATAGTCAAACTTGGGGCAGAGTACAGTGAATCTTAGGAAAGAATGGGGAGATAGAGAGACTTGGTGGGGTCTGGAGCTCCACAAGGAAAGCAACAGAACCAACAAATCTTGGCCCTGGGGGTATTTTCTGAGACTGGTACTCCAACCAAGGACCATTCATGGAGATAACTTAGAACCTCTGCGCAAATGTAGCCCATGGCAGCTCAGTATCCAAATGGGATTCCTAGTAAGGGGAACAGGGGCTATCTCTGACATAAACTCAGTGGCTGGTTCTTTGATCACCTCTTTCTGAGGGGGAAGCAGCCTTACCAGGCCACAAAGGAAGACAATGCACACAGTCCTGAGGAGACCTGATAGGCTAGGGTCAGATGGATGGGGAGGAGGACCTCCCTATCAGTGGACTGGGGGAGAGGTGTGGGAGTAGAAGAGGGAGGGTGGGTGGGATTGGGAGAGGATGAGGGAGGGGGCTATAGCTGGGATACAAAGTGAATACATTGTAAAAATTAAAAAAAAATTTAAGACTTAAAAATGATCTTTTCTCTTCCCCACTTAAATGCATTTTTGCCTTACTTGTGAATTTGGCCACACTAATAAATCATGCTCTTCTTTACATCTTAAATGCATTGCTTAAATGCAAATGCCCTTCACTGGACAGAAATTAAATAATTCTAGGCACAGTCACTCTTCAGCAGTTCACAGCTGGTGTTTGGTGTACTCACCCTCCCGTATCTGTTGGCGTAGGACCCTGTGAGCAAGGAATGGAAAACAATGATGGTCTCGTCCAGATCCCAGATGAACACTCTCTACAAGGGAAGAGCCAAGTCAATGGGAACACTGCTGTCAGTTACTTTGGACGTGACACGGAAGTGTTGAAGTGACATACAAATGAAATATCTGAATTTGTGCTTTTTTTTCCCAAACACAACTCTCCCTAAGGGCATCTCTCGGCTTTCAGCTCTAAGCTCAGATGAGGCACAGGAGGAGAGCTGTGTTAGTAAAGTCAATGTAAATATAGAAAATAGATAGCCTTTTCTACTCCACACTCATGTCTCTATCCCAGTTCCCAGGAGGTGAAGAGTGAGTTGCATCTGGTATAAGTTCTAAGCGGCAGAAGGGCCAGAAGTTGAAAGCCACTCAAAAGAGACCTTATTTCGGAAGATAACAAGAATTAAAAATAACTCTTATGACTTACTCTGGTCAAGGTAAGTATTAAACAGAAAGTGAAGCTTTCCCTAGTTCATTCACCTCACGTTAGTGATTAGGAAGTTAGCAGAGGATGAGGTACATGATTGGCTCTCAGCATATCTGAGCTCTGCAACAGGGATGCTTAGAAAAACAAACTATGTTTCCTGAACCTCTGTATATTTATTATCCGATAATAACATCCTATAAACAGTTTAGGATAAAGCCATCTACATGGGATTCACATTTTATTAGGAATCATAAGTAGTCTAGACATTAAACTGTTGGAAGACTGGAGAGGCTGTCAAGTGACAGACAGAATCCTTGCTCAGCACGAAATCAGCCCTGGGCTCCAGTTCCCTAGATGTGCAACAAACAGCAGGAGGACCGCATGGGGCATGTGCGAACAGCATGCTGCATAAGGGGGCCTTGAAGTTTGGGTATCAACTGGAGGGTCCTTGAACATGTCTCCTGTGGATACTGAGGGGCAGCCATATTTTTTTTTTCATCAGGTGTTTTCTGTTTTCAAAATTAAGCAGCCACCCGATACATACTCTTAGATATCAGGCGGGGAGAGGGAATATTTTGAACTGGATTTGGAGTTCATTTCAAAAAGTTCCTTGAGACACTATAGACTCCCTAACCCATTTCTCTTTTTTTCCTATCCCTCCTTACACCAGCACATAGTCACATACAGAGACGCTGCTGGAAAATGTTCATTTTTTCAGCCAAAAATAATCAACTTTTCCACCATCAGATTTTACTTTGGCAAAAAGCAGGAACTTAATTGCAGTGGCTTCGAGGCAATGAAATCTGCCACCCTGTCAGTTCTCGCTTAATCCTCCTGCTTTTGAACTCCACCAAAACATGTCCCAGTAGCTGATTACCACTGCAAGTTTAGAACATTCCTGACTTTCCTTTCTCAGTGTACACAGATGTGTCTTTGATTTCAAAGTGGCGTCTACTATGATCTTTTAGGATGGCGTTTGCTTAATTGAAATGGCAGGGACACATAGTAGTACCGTAGAAGCTGTTCAAGCAAAACTGCCAAATTTGTTTCCATTTGCATTTTGTGGAGAGAGACAGAGTTGCCATGTAGCCCAGCCTGGCCTCGAACTCACCATGAGCCAAGAATGACTTTGAACTTTTGATCCTTCTACCTCTATCTCCCATGTGCAGGGAATGTGGGTGTGTGTTACCCCACACCTGGCTACTATTTTTCTTGAGGAAGAAATAGACGCTGTCTTGTGTAGATATTTTGAAGGAAAATATAGAAGCAAGCAGTTACATAAAGCCTGGCAGACCCTCAATGGTACAGCACACATGAGCTTATTTGAGGCCTTGTGTCCCTTTCCCACTATTGCAGAACTACAGCAGAAATATGCACTAACAAATTGCATCAATTATGAAGACTATCGATGACAGGGCAGGTAATACAAAAGAGGGAAACTTGTCTTACTTTCTTACTATGAACAATAAGCGATAACCAAAGTGTTGGGGTCCTTCCTTTCTGATGTTCACAAGCCAGTTCTATTGACCCATTAATGTGCTATGTACCTTGTTCCCTATTTTAGTATAGGCAATGACATACCTCAAGATCGGAATCCGGGGGAGGTGAGGGATTATTGTTTCTCCTGCCTCGGCCACGTGACTTCCCATCTGACCCTCGACGCAGCCGATCGGAATCCGACTCTTTAATGGGTGTTGAAGGGCTGTGGATTGTACTGTACTCTGTAAGAACGTAAGAAGAACGTTCAAGTGCCGCCGCCATGGTGCCAAGAACAGCCTTGTTTTAATTCACAGGGAAGCTTAAAGAATAAAGCACATTCCATTTAACGTAAATCCTACATTGTCTATTACTCGCAGTAGTAAAGAGCTCAGGAGATACGAGGATCCAAGACCTTTTCTGATCAAAACCTACTCAGCTTTAACTGAGTAGGTGAGCCAGCAGGTTGTACTGGATTGCCGTGATTTTCCTGGGGTCCAAGTGATGAGCCGGTGCTCCCTTCCCAATGGTGTCCACTGCTCCTTCCCCAGTGGTCTGTACCACTTCTCTCTGACTCCATAAATGGCCTTTGGCCACCAGGGGAGCTTTATATTTGATTCAGCTGTGGCTCCCCTAGCTACAAACAGGGTTCTGGTTCATGGAGAGAGATGAAAAGACAACCAGCCCCACGGCAGGGAGATCTGAGTCACAGGGCAGACTTTTCTTTCCAAAATTTAAAATCGCCAATTTCTCCTGCATTGTATGTTGAGGCTAAGGGAATGGGCTGACTTTTAGACAATGCCCACCTTGGTCTAGCACCCACCTGAATTCTTCGGGTGTCTCAGCCTTTTTAAAGCAAGCATCTAACACCAGGCATAGCATTAAAGTTATTCATCTGACTAACTCAGAGAAACCACTGGAGTAATTACAAAGAAACCACAAAATAAAGGTCAGCTCCAAAAAGGCTGGAAGGAAGAGCTGAAGAGTTGTTGTAGATTTTGAGGAAGATTCTTATCTTGGGTCCAGAATGAACCAAACTCATCACTCTCACCTCCTGCTCTATTCAGTATTCCTATCAGATAATCTCCACTTTGCTCAAGTTCCAGATGGGCCTGTCATGGTTCTCCCCACGAGGCTCCGAGCCACACATTCCTTTACTAGGTAAGGATGAGAGCCTATTTAATATGAATAATTCTTCCTCACTGTGGTCTTGTTGATCATATGTTACTGCATGAAAACTACGAAGGGCAGCCTTTACTAGTTCAATCTCCAGTCCTCACTCTACCACCAGGTCTTCTGAGGTCAAAACATGGTACCAACATTATTTCCAAACTAAGAAAGGCTTCTCTGAAGGTTCGTGAGAGGATCCCTAGCAGCAGACTTCTACCCGTCATTTCCGTCATTTCATTTCTATATCACCTGAACCTGCTCTACACCTCTTGCTAAATCTTAATTCAGCATATTCCCAGGACTTGATTGAGAGACTTACATGACCTCTCCATCACAAACAAAATGATAAACTTCTTTATGTAATCGGGCCATGGGACTTTCATGCCCAGAAATCACGAGGCTGACCTACAAGCCAGTTACTTTTTTGTTTACATCAGAATATCCAAAATGATGCCCCCAACAGGTTTGCCTATTTAGTTATTAGGATTCATTTTTGAGCTAACTCATTTCACAGAAATGTTAGACTCAAACCATAAAGAAGAGTAAAATTAACAATCCACCCACAAAACCCCTGATCCAAAATTTACACTGCCTACAAGAAGTGCAGGGATTAAGGGGGAACAGAGATTGGGGGAATGTCCAACCAATGATTGGCCCAACTTGAAACCCACCCCAAGATAGAGAGCCAGCCCCTGACACTATTAATGATGTTCCACTATGCTTGCAGACAGGAGCCTAACATGACTATCTTCTGGGAGGCTCCACTCCGAAGTGGTTTGATACAGATGTTGGGACTTGCAGCAAAGCACGAGATGGAGCTTTCAGGGGCCCTGTAGAAGTGTTGGGGGGAAAAATGGAAGGACCTGGAGGGGACAGGAACCTCACAAGAGGACCAACACAGACAACCAACCCGGACCCTTTCAGAGACTGAGCTTTCAGAGACTGAGCACTCAGGAGTATTCCACGGTCTGGACCTAGGCACCCTACACATAAGTGACTGATGGTTGACTTGATCTTCATGTGGGCCTCCTGGTGAGTGGAGGAGGAGGGCACTGTTTTTAACATGGATTCTATTGCCTGCTTTTGGATCACTTATCCTTGGCAGGGCTGCCTTGCGTAGCCTCGGTGGATGAGGATATGCTCAGACCTGATGTGAATGAATGTGTTGGGGAGGAAGGGAGAGGGGAAGGGAAAAGGAGGGGATGGCAGGACTAGGAGAGGAGAGAGGGGGCGTCCGTGGTATGTATAACAAATAAATGTAAATAAAAATTGTTTGTGTCATTTTCAGGAAAATATGAAATCAGAGATTATCCCATCATGAGAACCAATCTAGATTTAGAAAGACAAACTTTTGCACTCTTTTTGTCATATATCAAACTAGATACAGCATATGTGGCATGAGTGCAAAACAGGGACTAGACACTGAGAAAAAAAATCAAACAGGAAAGAGGAACAGCAAGCATATGTGTGTGAGTGTGTACATATATGCTATGTATATAATAGATACATTACACGTATATAACAATATATTACATATATAATCATCACTTAAGTCAACCTTAACATTCTTTCATTGCAGATTGGCAAGGCATTCACACACACACACCCCTTTAAGGTATTCTAAGCTAGCATTTCTCTGTCTTTTACAGAGAACAATGGGCTTCAAGTGAATGTTTTAAGTGGTCAAACTTATTCAGAGTTATATTTTTGAGGAAAACGTTTTAGCCTTGCATTTTAAGGAACATTGCAGAATGTGTGGAATGTGGGTGGTCCTCATCTAAAGTGGAACACACGGCCATGCCTGTCATGGTTTCTACATGAAGCATTCATTCTGCAGAGTTGGCATCAGATGCACCTTGTAGTCCCAGTCCTTTCTTCACCGTGAGAGCTGCCTGAAGCTGGGGACTCCCCAGATTTGGAGAATGCCTATCTGAGAAGAACGAAAGATATCTGGTTCTGTGTCTTGTCAAATGATAACATCTACATAGATTTCCAGATTGCTTTATGTTGTCTACAAAATACTTAATCTAAGTTAGGTTTTATTACCATAGATTTTCTTATTGTCCACTGCTTTGTCTTTTAGTGTATATTTGTCTTTAAAATACGAATTAAAATTGAGAACGTTTTGTCATCATTTTTTAAAAAATAAACTATAGTTATATATAGTTTATTGAGTTCATTGAGCAAAATAGGAAAAAAAATTAAGTAAAGTACTTTTTTTCCTGGTAAAGGAAAAATAATTTTAAAAGATTAACACTCTACACCTTTAAATATTAATATATATTCACAATTAATATATATATATTCACAATATATATATTCTCTATGAGGAAGAAGATGATGCTGAAACTGATGCAAGCTAACTTAGTAAGAACCCCTTCCTTTGTGTTCTATAGGGTAGCTGTAAATGCCTGTAACCCAGCATTACTGATTCTAATGGCTTCCTCCTGCTACCTGTGCAAAACAAGGCAGCTAATTTAACCTTCTAACCCGCCCACTGCTCATGTTTCTCTAAACCCTCTCCAATTGTTCAGCTTTACACACACTGAGATGTGGGCGTGGAAGTATTCTGTAAGGTGCTCCTTTCCTTCAGGAAGCTCTGGTTCCACGCTGTGCTCACTGGCCTTGAGACAGCACTAAGCTGGAATACATGGTTGCCCCAACCAGACAAAGCTCTGCCTTTGAGGGCTAAAAGTTCACTAACTTGGAAGCAAACAGAAGAGGGTGAAATTAAAGGGAAAGGTAGAATTCCGCAAACCATGAAGAGAATCCACATAACAAGTCTAATCAGGACAGGTGTGCCAGTAGAGAAAAGAATTGAAATGCACTCCAGGTAGGGGCACATCCAGGATTAAAAAAAGAAGGCAAAACAAAACAAAGCAAAACACCAACAGCTGATCTGGGTCTACAGAGGGCATAGCAGTATAACAAATGAGCCAGGATGACTGACAAGTGAAGAATTCAATCAAGGAGAGGATGCTTTACCTCTTGGTTGGCAAGAGGCTGGAGACAAGTTATACCCATGAGTAGGAGACCAAAGAGCAGATAATTCAGTAATTCACATGAGGTGGGGGTGGAGGGATGGGTGCGCCATCTGGGCACAGGTGGTGACAGAAGGGCAGTCATGGATCTGAGTCACCACTGAGAGGCACAAGCAGTACCTAACTGGATAATAAAAAGTCAAGGATGATATGAATGCCTGTGGTTTGACAATCGGGAAAACTAGAATACTAAGGATGCAATGTAGAAAGAGGAGGTTGCAAGGAGGAGTAGAGGGGAACCTCAACGTTAGCACTGGAAATACCACATTCGAAGAGGCTGCAGGCAGGTACATAATGGCCAGTAGGGCGACAAATAGGTTTGAAAAACGGACACCACTTTAAAGAAGAGAATGTGAAGAAATGCAGCATGTGTAGGATGGTGGGAAAAGAAAGGGGTAAAGAAGAGATGGGCAAAGAAAGGTGGCAGGGGGGTTGTGAAAAGAGAAATTCAGTATATTAGAGAGGACGGGGTTTGTGAGGAGGCAGAGAGGGTTCAAAAGCTTCAGCCCAGCAAACAGACAAGAAAATCTAGACTGAACCCAATAGTAACACAGAGTAAGAGATATTGAGTAAATACAGTAACAGTGTAGACTTGAGAGGGTAGAAAGTTAAACAGGAGGTAAGGGTCCTATAGATACTGGTAGCTCTGTATTTCTCAGCTCTGCAAACATGGCTCACATCTGTGCTACAGTGTTGACCAACTCATCTTATTCAATGATTACAGTTGTTCTTTAGCAATTTCATATGTACATAGTATGTTATGTTTACTCCTATTCCCCACCCTGTCTCATCTCCCTCCTACCCCAGTAATCTCCCACTCCCTACAGATCTCTTTCCCATATTCATGCCTCTCTTTTTTTTTTTTTTTTTTTTTTTTTTTTTTTTTTTTTTTTGGTTTTGTGACCCACTGATTTCAATCAGGACTGCCAGCGTAGCTAAGGGTTTGGAACTATCCAATGGAGTCTAGTGGGTTCACAATTTTATGCACACAGAGACTCTCAAATCTCGCTCTTTCTTTGCAACAGCTATGCATG